GTTTTAGAAATATTATCATTATTAAAAAATCAGTTTAGAAAATGGTTCTTCTATTTATACAAATACTAGCTGAATACCCGCTTTTCGTTCATGTACAGAACTGAAAGACATATATCAACGTAATTAATTAAGTTAAAACATTTCCATTTTCTTTTATTTATTATTATTTATTGCCCTTCCAGCTGTATTTACATTATTAGATTAAGCAAAAGATGTTTTTAGAAGTTCGTGCCATCAAAGCAGGGATAAACTATATTTAGTATCATTTGGCATAATAATATTATTCGATGTCAACTTCAGTCGATAGTCAACAATTACAATTAGTATTACTGAATAACAAAAAAATATTTGAATAGTAAAACACTACATCCTTAGGCGAAAAGTAGGTGCCACCTTTTTTGGCGTTGAAATACACTAAAATAAATTATTGCTTTTAAAACATTTCTATTGCTCAATACATAGTAGAAAGTGTTTTGAAAAGCTAAAATTACTTATTTAAAATGTGCTAATATATTTATAATTTTTATTGTAAAAAAATGTTTCCAAAAAGTATAGCCCTACTCACTTTTCCTCACTAATCAATAATTTGCTTTTTCGATTCGATTAGGGTTACCGTGTTAAGTTGAATACTTTGGTTACCGATTCTTATGAAAAAAAGTTTAAAAACTAATGCAGTTCCATTTCCATAATGCATTTAGAAAAAATTTGCTACCGTAAACAAAGAATGCATAATAAAAGAATTTCATAACTTATATTCATTTTATGCTGTTTGTACTCCAAGATGACTGGTTCTTCTTTGTTTCTGCACTGTAAAAACTGTAGTGTAATATCTAGAATTAAATTTTGTGTTTGAAAACTTTAGAAATTGTGCTTTATTTCAAGTTAATACCGAATCAAGCGTTCATACACGATTTAAACTGTGTAGTTAAATTTAAGTTCCAAAACTGAGAAAGATAGAAATGTTCAAACGCATTTACTCCATTCATAAATTATTATTTCTAATTTTGTGGTATGCTTGAAACCGTCGAAGGAATACCTTTTTTTGAGTGCTTGAAAGTAAACTTTTTTTTTTCAATTTGTATATTTTTGTATCGAATGAAGCTTCTAATCGATTAATACCTTATGAAGTTATTACTTTTCGTGTAGCTGAGTACAAAATTTTGCTACGATTGCTAATCTGTCAATCTCATGAACAGCTGAGTAGGGATTCGAGCCTTGATCCTGGACTACTGCAATATGAAATTTTCACTCATGCGTAGATGATAGCACCATAGAGCCACTTAACACAAAAAGGTCTAGTACTTCGCAACTCTCACGATAGATTGGCACCACCAGATAAGCCAAATTTCATTATTTACTCGTCAAAACACAAGTCAACCACAACCCAACAGAAATACCCATTACCTAATGAAAAGCTTAACTCCAATTAAACTCCCATTTCCAGTTAAATTTCATTTTTTCGGTTTTGAATCTATTCTAATTGTAAATGGTTACAAAACCTTATAGTTTTGTATTCAAGGTTTTCTAACCATACCAGTTGTAAATGGTTTCAAACCCGTGGTAGTAGTAGTAGTGTTAAACACTGTTTAACAANAACCATACCAGTTGTAAATGGTTTCAAACCCGTGGTAGTAGTAGTAGCACTTTATTTACATTGCACTTGAGCTGCATAATAAGGTATTTAGTAAGTAAAACAGTTGTCTTATAGTAAGATAAGGACAGATTTCAATGTTTTTATACATAATAGCTAGGCTAACATACCAGAAAAAAAAATCATGTTACATATACTTGATTAGGACAGATTTCTATGGTATAAATAAAAAAAATAATAATTAAATTTTGAATTTTGATTTGGAATTATATTAAATGCTTTCCAAAAATATTTCTATTTATAATAAATAATTCAGGTGCATATTACAACTTTTTAGTTGAAAAATATTTTTTTTTCAGTTTCTTAACATCAAACGAAGCTCATTTATCACTTCAATGACAATTTTTTATGCAACACATTAGACAATTTCGATGCAAAATTGTAAGAAAATTAATGAGAAAAAAAAATACTTTCTTATGAATGTTTCTTTTCACATTTAATAAAAATCCTTCATTAAGATGGAAAATTACAGGTTTTGAAATCTATCGTCTCATCAGGTTAAGAAGAGAGTTTTTAGATAAATGCTGAAAATTTTCTTTAACGAAAAGTTTATAACGTCGTCTTAAGGAAGCGATTAATCATTCTTTTTCATAATAACGTGTGTCTGATAGAGCAACAGATTCTTTTCAATTTAAAAAATTAATTACATTCAAGATTTTGTAATCCTTCTGAAGTTTTTTTTTATTATTTTTAATTTTTCAAAGAAAATCAATGACGTAATCGTCTTGTGCTGTTCGAATTATTTTTTATTCGAAATTCTCTTTTGATAATGACAGGTTGACATTAAACCATCAAGGAGCTAACTTAAGCCGGATTGTAATCAGTAACTCGATTAGTTATAAAAGCGATCAGTTTGCATTTCGTTAAAGTTACATATCTTGGATTAATAACATTTTTTTTTTTTACTCTTTAGTTTCTGTCAAGAAATAACTTAAAATCCGTATCAGTTGCTTTAAAGAAGCCTTCAACGTAAGTGACACCTTGTTAGCTTTCATTTCTTAAGCTCTCTTTTTTTAATAAAATTTAATTAATTACTTGTTTGTTCTAAAGTGACATTAAAACTCACACTCTCTTTTAAAAATGTATCTTATAGATATTTTTTTTTGTCTTCTAGGAAGACTCCTAGACTTTTTAAATGCAGACAAAGTTTATCGAAAAGCAACGAGCAGACAAATTAATTTGTAAACATTGTCTCGAATCTAAATAATTACAAAGAAGCGGATAAATAATTAGAAGTTTTCTTTTGTTGTAATTTTTACGCACCTACACAACAATCAGCAAAAGTCTTAATACTTTTTTTTAAAAAACAAAATTTGTCATTTTTGCATAGGCGGGTCGAACAGCTATCATTACGAGGACCCAATCGGAAAAGGACTCTATCTTTATATTTTATTTTGAACACAAAATTTAAACATTCAAAATATTCAACAAAAAATAAGGTATAATTAGTACTAAGTAGACTAAAGTACAAATGAAAGTACATAAATGAACGTTCTATAGTTTCAGTTCCATAAACAAGGATTTTCCTCAATGTCTAAGCTACAAAATATAAATTCCAAAATTTAAACATTCAAAATATTCAACAAAAAATAAGGTATACTTAGTACTAAGTAGACTAAAGTACAAATGAAAGTACATAAATGAACGTTCTATAGTTTCAGTTCTATAAACAAGGATTTTCCTCAATGTCTAAGCTACAAAATATAAATTCCATTTTGGCGTTTAGATACCGAAGAAGGTATAGTATGCTAATTTATGTACTTTCATCTATACTTTATTCACGTTGTTGTTGTTTGCTTTAACATACGAAATATCTTTTCATTTTTAAACATTTTGAAAAAAAAGAAATAGCATTGATTAGTAGTGGTGAATATATTTTTTTGAAATATTTTTCTAAATTATTGCCGATGAACGAAATAGTTGTATGAAAACCAATCAGCTATTGATGTTGAACAAAAAGCAAAGGAAACATCTGAATAGCTTTCGATTTAGTGATGACTTTTTATTTCACTTAATGTGATGGCTGTCTTAACGGTTTGACTGATATACTTTTGAAATGCCAAATAACTTTTGCAAACAATATTGCAGAAAACGAACGATTTTTAAGTGCAACTTTGTAACTTAACTTATCACCTGCACTAATTAATTAGCGCATTTAAGGTCGACCCAAATAACTATTAAGATTGCCTCATAATCGAAAAAATTCCGATCTCTAAATCAAGGTTATTCATCTGTGTTTTCATTTTATTTTGTGCACTATATAATCATGGCCATAAGCATTCGTATCTTTGCAAATATAACTAGATACCTAACTTAAAAATTGTAAAATCTCTCTAAATTGGAAGACATTTTGTAATACGAAACCCTCTCGTGGTTAACCCAACAGGTTTCGTCCAGTAATTGCACTTTCAATGAAAAAATAATGATTTCAAAAAAGTGAATTTTCTAAATGTATTTTTATATTAAGATCAAAGGCCATATAGGAAAGTAAGTTAAACACAAATATTTTCAAACTACATTAAAACCATTGAAATATTCAATAATATTTATTAAAACTATGATAAATAATCTGACTTATTTCTCTTGTATCATTTTCTATTATCTGAAAGTTAGTAATTCTTCAAAGTTAATAAATAGAAATGCGCCAATAAAAATTCAAGATAGTGTTCAAGAGAAATTCAAGTTACAAGAAATCTAAAGATTTGTTTTTAAAGTTTTTACAGACTTTGAAGTGGGTAGAAACTTTATGCTTTCATAAGTTTTAAAATGCTCGAAATTTATAATTATCGTATCAAGTTTTTACAGACTTTGAAGTGGGTAGAAACTTTATGCTTTCATAATTTTTAAAATGTTCGAAATTTAATTACCGTATCAAGTTTCTACAGACTTCGAAGTGGGAAGAAACTTTATGCTTTCATAATTTTTAAAATGTTCGAAATTTAATTACCGTATCAAGTTTCTACAGACTTTGAAGTGGGCAGAAACTTTATGCTTTCATAATTTTTAAAATGCTCGAAATTTAATTACCGTATCAAGTTTCTACAGACTTTGATGTGGGTAGAAAATTTATGCTTTCATAATTTTTAAAATGCTCGAAATTTAATTACCGTATCAAGTTTCTACAGACTTTGAAGTGGGTAGAAACTTTATGCTTTCATAATTTTTAAAATGCTTGAAATTTCATTACCGTATCAAGTTTCTACAGACTTTGAAGTGGGTAGAAACTTTATGCTTTCATAATTTTTAAAATATTCGAAATTTAATTACCATATCAAGTTTCTACAGACTTTGATGTGGGTAGAAACTTTATGCTTTCATAACTTTTAAAATGCTCGAAATTTATAATTACCGTATCAAAGTCGTCTTGGTTGTCAATATGTTGGGCAATAAACATTGCATTATGAATGGATCGGAGAATCTGGCGTGGATATCGTCTTCTCTCTGCAGACACCGGACTGGAATCCAATTCCCTGATAATAATTCCTTGTTCATCAGGTGTAGATTTATCAGACCTTAAATCAAGAAGCGAAGATGAAGATTCTCGAATCATTCTTGCAACTTTAAAATCTAAGGAAGACTCTGTCAAAGGAAGAGACAAATGGAAATTGTATTTTTTATTTACTGTAATCATACCAATATGATTTTTGTAAACATTTCTTAAAAGTTTTTACCGAAATAAATTAATAAATAAATAAATAAAAGTTAATTTACAGATTTAAATTAAGAAAAGGGTACATATGAAAACAAAATGTTTTAAAAACTATGTTTCAAGTATTCTATGTTCCATGTTTCAACTATGGTTTATGATTCTAACTTGCCGACAAGCCTGTGTAGGGGTCAGGGAACTGGACTTTCATCAGATAGGTTCTGGGTTCGAATCCCGGACAAGGCATGGATGTTCGTTCCTTCTCTGAACTATCTGTCCAAACTGTGGGAGCAACGTTGGCCCACCTAATATAGTGCTGCTGAAAGAGTGGCCAACAAATCTGTCCTTCACATGCCTGTATGACGAAAGGTCATTCTCCAGGTAGGCATTGGGGGAAAAAATTCCAAGTTTAAAAGCAAAAAAGTAAGAGAAAAAGCTTGTCAATTTTCGGAACAATATTTACCCCAGTTTTTATAAATTTTTTTAAAACCTAAGGTGTCGCGGAATGAGGTGACAAAAGATGATCATGACTCATATTGAATCTTCAAAAGTATTCTTCATAATTTATTATTATTTATTAATTATTCAATGGTATCCTTCAAAAGGAAAAAAAGTTTAAAGCTACAGCTCATTGAGTTTTAGATGTGCACTGTAACAACTGTGATGTACTATATCTCCGAATTTGATGTTGAATAACTCAAAGAATTGAGTGGATAAACAGTTTTTTTTTTCAAGTTAACCCAAAATCGAGCTTTCATGTACAGTGAGGTGCCATGAGATTATTTTAAAATGGTTTGGAAAAGTTTGGAAACCCTTAATTAATTTTTTTGTCTCAAATTTTCTCGATATAGAAATTTTTTTACAAGGCCTATGTGCATACATAGGTACATACAGAGTAAATGAGTTGAGCGTCTACAAATTTGAAAAGGTGATAAAGTTCATAATTGCATAGCAACTAAAATCTTGAAATGTCATCTTACGCCACTAGAGATGCTTCTCTGGTATTATTGGTGTTATATAATTGGCGCAAATAATACTTTTATCTAAATTATTTTAGTTTCATATTTTGCGCTTTGTTTGAAATTATTATAAAATATTGATTGAAATAGGTGCAGAAATAGCTTTTAATGGCCATTTAAGGTTTTGGTGAGCTTGATAAGTTATTTACCAAAACATTAATCACGTAAAATATATATTTCTTGACCTATTGGAATGCAATTTTGAAAATATGTACTAGAAAACTTAAAACAAAATTAAAACTAACATACAATTACTTTAATTTAGATAGTTAAATTTACTGTTTAAAATTCGCACCAATAGCTAGTTCGTAAAGAAGTAGCGCCCCTAGCACCGTATGATTACATATACGGGCATGGGTTGTTGTGTGATTCCCACAGCTCTACCCATAGATCTCTACATAGATTGGAGATTTGATAGTCGTAAACTCAGAATTAGATCGGTTGCTCAACGCCTGTTAGAAAATAAAAAATATATATTGGGGAGCAAGTAATAGAGGGTTCGATTCCCAATGAAATGACCCAGGTTCGAATCCTAGTGGTACTGGTTGATACGAATTCTGCTTTCAGCTTGCACCAACCACAGTGCTGATATAAAATATCCTCAGTGGTGGACGGATTAATTAGTTAGAATCATCTTGCCATTGGCCTAACCTTGGGATGCTTACGTAGTTTTTGAAACTCAAATTATGTGAGTTAGCTCCATAAAAAATTCCTCAACGAAAGCTAGTTTGCCCCAATGGTCATAGAGTTGAACATTGATAGTCGTAAATTCAGAATTGGGTCGTCTGTACAGAGCTTTTAATAAAAAAAAAGTATAATTTATAGGATTGCTGATACGGAACAAAGTGAAAGATAAAGAAGTCCTCTGGGATCCTCAAAAATGGACGTTTCTGGGAAAATCCTATTAGAGCTTTTATTTAGTTATTTTTTGCTGTTGTATAGTTATGCTTTTCGGTGTGCTGGTTAACTATTATGCTTAATCATGTTGTACACTCTACCAAATAAATATTAACAAAGAAAATTTCGGGAAATTTTCAAGCTGGTGTTTCCTTTTAATTTTGCAATTTACTATAAAACGTTAGATTAATGCATTTTTAATATTCTTGATTTCTATTTTTAATCAAAATTTTAAAAAAAATAAATACAATCTTCTTATAAGAAAAAAGTGATTAAAATGTATAAAAAAATGATTCTAAGAACTTCTCTTATTTCGAAGTAAAAATACATCATTCTTACTTATTTCACTTTGAAATTTTATACATATTTAATGCAATCAGTGTTCCGATTTTTTTTTCGAACTCAAACTTTTCAACGCGTCTTTTTCTCTGACAAGTTAAGAAAAAAAATAATTGAAAGACGGTGAAAAATTATTCAATTTGACTAAAAGTAAAAACGGATTGCATTGCCAAAAAAAGAACAACTCTAACTTTGTGTCAAGGATTCTATCTGAGTACTTCATAGATTTCCTTCGAGATTTTCTATTTACGGTGTCTAAAGCGCGAAGAGAAAGAAATGAGAATTTTTATTTATTGTTACCCAGTAAGAGGAAAAAAAAGTCCCAACTTTTTCCATAATTACATTGATATTTAGAAAGAATCTTGTCTCCAGTTTAGAGAATTTCTCATTTGTGTGTTTTTGTTGTGAAATAGTTTCTGACACAACTTGTATTTGTTTGTTAAAATTCGAACAAATAAACATATGTTAAAATAAAATTGTAAATTGAATCCGAGTGTTCTGTTGAAAAAGTAATTCATTGTTTTTGTTATCTTCTTTGGTATCTGTAGAGGGTTTACTTGACTTCAAAACGTATATTAAGAAAGAAGAAATGAAACAATTGTAATATTGGTTGCTTTTTCGAAGAAGGTGGCAATGATGAGAGTAGAGTTGTTTTCTTTTATTTGAATTTAAGCAAAAGTATATTAAATAGTAATATTTGTGTTAGGTCAAAATAACTACTAAGCATATCTTTAAAAAAAATGGCAAAATGAATCTGAATGTTCTGTTTAAATATTAATGCATTGTTTTTATTTTATTTTTTAGGTATTCGGGGAAAATTTCTAGGACTTCAGAACATGTCTTGAAAAATGTGACAGTAATAAGAGACAATAATAAGAGAAGAAGACTTTTTTTATTTAAGAAAAACATTTTAAACAGCAACATTTGTATTTGGTCGAAATTACCTCGAAAGCTATCTTAAAATCCAAATTGAATCTAAATGTTCTTTTTAAATAGTAATCCATTGTTTTTGTTTTCTTCTTTGGATATCTGTTAAGGCTCTACATGATTTAAAAACGTACATTAAGAAAGACGAAATGAAACAATTGTAAATTTTTTTTTTCAAAGTCGTAAATAATAAATGCAAATGGATTGTTTTTGTTGGTTTATTTGAATTTAAGATAAAGCATTTTAAAAAGTAAAATTTACATTTCACTGAGAAGCATTTAAAATTAAATCCTAAATTGAGCTTGAAAGTTCTGTGAAAAAGTAATCCAGTGTTTATGTTACATTTTCTAGTATCTATGGAGGATTTCGGGGAACAGAACATGCATTTAATAAATCTAAGGATTCAGAATGGAGAATTTAGAATATACGTTTGATAAATCTAAGAAGAAATAAATAACTGCAGTTTTAGTTATTTTTCTCCAGACGATGGTAATGATAAAAGAAGATGGGTTTCTTTTTATTAAATTTATTTGAATTTATAAAACAACACGTTATAATACTAACATTTATATTTAGTCGGAATTGATTTTAAATAATCTTTTTACCTAGAATTTCTATTCTAAAGCTGTTTCTGTTACAAGCTCTGCATTTCTTTAACATTTAACGTGAATGAGACTTGTAAGTACAAATAACAATGCTCCTTTCCAAAGGAATTTTGTGTTTTTCGTTCGCTTTTGTAATGGAAATTCTTTACGGGACTCAAGAATAAACAGATGCTCCCAGTAATGCAAGGAAACAATAGAAATACATTAACATATTTTGTTTTTTATATACTTCCAAAGTAAAAACAATGAATTACTTTTATTTAACATTTCACTGAAAAAGAAACTAGATTTCTTAATAGTTAGACTACGTATTTCAGAAAAGTATTTCGTGGGCAGTGGTTAGATCATCGATTCGGAAAGCTGTCAAGACCCACAGAACATATGAGTTAGACGTACTCGTAAAATCTATGGAATCGAAAGTTCTGTGGTTGGTCACCAAGCATTACCATGGATACAAGGATCTGGATAAAACTTCCTTCCCCTTCAGATCTATGGCTAAATTGTGGAAGTGGCCTTACGAATGATTGGTGCTGCCATCTATCCGAAGGGTTCTGAAGTCACACTTTCACCTTTGCAGTGCTCCTTCCTGGCTTAATTCATGAGGCCAATGGGAGGCTAACTTAGTTTGTCTAAGTGTCATTAGAAAGAGTTTTCGTTAAATCGTATTTGGTATTGCAATAAGGTAATTGTGTGTAGGAATTTTAAGTTTTCATTAAATAATAAGGATAATATTCGAATAAACAATTTAATGAGTCGTTTTAAGGTAAATTTGCCGACTTACACTAAATTCAAGACTCTACGGGGACTTAATCATTCCCTGGTATCATTCTAATCTATCCTGGTGTCGATGTAAGCAAAAAAATAATGATATTTAAAAAAAAATATTTTAGACATTCACGAAAACAACAATGAGAATGCCAACATTCAGTAAACTTCAACGGAAACCTACTCACTTGTATTGTCCTAGAGAATCAAATGTACTTTATTTAAACGTTTTTTTATTGTAGGTTTTTATATTTCTGTTTTGAGGTATTTTTAAATAGATAAATGCTTAATAAAAAGAAAAGACGTCAAACGTTTTAAAAGTTTTGATAAAAGTCATTAATTATATTTAATTAATCTAAATATTGCTTTTTATTCAGTTTTCCCTTTCAAGAACTTGTTCCGAATGAAAAATTCAAAACTTAATTAAGAAGAATATTTTTAGAGAGAACATATTTTTACGAAATCGCGACATTTTTTTTAATGTCTCCGAATTCTAAAAATTTCTTCTTTATGGCGAAATATCTAAGAAAAGAAAAGGAAAGCAAATAAAAATGGCATCGAATTTCCAGACTTTAATAACCTACTTTTCTGCAAAGATAAGATTCATTCCATTGGAAATAAGTTGGGAACTTCTATGATGCGAAAGTAAACAGATACTTTTTTCCTTAACTTGAACTCAAACTAATTTCCAATCACATTTTGAAATGGGTTCATTATTGATAAATTGGGCTTTCGCATAATGATTTCGAAGTCATTTGCGCAAAGATAAGCTTTCTAAAATTTGCTTATCATCATCGCAAACTGTACCATTATTCTGTTTAATTAAATAAAGAAATATTTTGATTATATTTTTCAAAAGTATTATAAAAACATTTACTAACTACTTGTTTTTATAATAAAATTTTTAAAAAAAATCGATTTTGTAGAAAATAGTTTTCAATAATATATAGTTTTTATATTAATTTAGTATTTAATATAAATTATTACACAACAGTCAACAACACATCTAAATAAGAGGTATGAGAAAAAATATCGATGATTTGAAAAATCATCTAAAGAAAAACTTGAAAATAAAGTTCTGATTTTACTTAGGAAACAACGTATTTCTCTCCAACGTTTGTAATTAACAGCAAACTTTATCAGAAGATTGCATTGTTTGTTTGCAGTGTGCTTGGAAAGCCAAATTAACCAAACTTTGAATTAACAACGTATCGCAATCTGAGGAGAAAATTAAGAGACGCTCATAAAAATGTTTAAGTTAGAATAATCCGACATGTAGCAGGAATTATCGTTAACGACATTATCTCAAGGCAATTTTTTTAACTTATCATGAAATTTGGAGAGAATAAAAACTTAATTTCCTAAGCAGAATGCAGCACATCGTAAGTTTTAAATCCTTCCGTTTTTAAATTTTTCCAATCATCATTCATTATTGGGACTCCTTCTATTAATCAATACGTTAAACTCCAAGAAAAATTAGTGTTGTTTGCTAAACCGAATATTGATTTAGAAATTTTGCTTATTTAAAAAGTGACAGTTTATCGAAAAAATCTTAAAATTATATGAAAATAAAAAAATGAAAAAAATGAATAGTTTGTTTGAAAAATTTAAAAATAAGTTTAAAAAATAAGATCAATAGATTTGTTCAGTCTGCAAAGACCATGATATTGTGCCAATATATGATTTTAAATGGTTAGATTACAGAAAGAAAATTAAAACGCCTGAGAACAGTAGATGCATTTAACGAGTAGCGATTGCTCTTAATATATAAAATTGTTATGTGCATTATCTCGAAAGAAATTGAGAAAGCAATTTAAGTGTGGGTTCCTTAAAGTTATATTTTTAAGCAAAAACAAAAATTTAATGTTCATTTTAATTTCAAAAGTTTATATTTCCGGTCCGGACGAAATTTCTATGGGGATATTATGCTATTATTCCTATGGAGAGAGTCTGTTTGCATCTAAGTGTATGCTAAACTCCATGTGCGAACGCATATCAACATTGCTGGCTCTTAAAACTACATTGCACAGCCTTCGTTTTGCTTGCTTTCTTAAATCGTGTGAAATGAAGAATTCAAAACTTATTGAATAATCAATTAACAAGAAGTAAGAATTAATAAAAATGATATTTAAAAATCGTAACAAATAATCCTCTTTCTATTCGCATTTAAAGAAACAGATGAAAGAGTAACAGATATTGTTTTTTGCAGACGATTTTGTTCTGCAGTGAAACAAAAGTAAAAATTCCTCATCTTACATTTGATTTGTTAAGGAAATGTCAACATAAAGACGCGCCATTTTTAGTGGTCCAATCCAATCCAGTGCTCTTGCAACATCATATAGCTGTTTTCTTTTCAAGAACGAACGTTCTCCTTATTTATCGAAACATGTCACGAAGTCTAGGATTCCAGTAAGACTTCGAAACTGTAACCTTTTTCTTTTTAATAATTCAGTGCTATATATCGTAAAAGACTGCTCAGAATTAAATTTGTGTTTGAAGTGTTTAACTTCTAAAAAAGCTTTTAAATTGTTTTGAAAGCATATTTGTATAATTTGATAATGAAATAAAACGGAACGATTTGGATGATTACTTGAATCCTATACCGCAGGAGTCTTTTCTCACCTTGCAACGGATTATAAGTGATATCGCATAATATCAAGCATAATTGGAATGTGTATAAACTTTGTTTGGTGGTAAAAAATTGAAATACACTAATAAATAAAGTACCTGGAAGCTTAGATTTGTTTTTCTTGGAAGATTGTTCTTTTTTCTTTTTCATATTATTCCTTTGAGTATAATGATCCGTGTATTGGGGTGACTTCATCAACAAAACTTTTGGCAAGATGTAAATAAACAGATGACGTACCCATCTAAATACAGAACATTTTCATTAAAAACACACATAGTTTTAGCACAGCAGTTTAAGTTAAATGTATTTCTTGGTCGATACATTTTGCATTACTAAATACTTTAAATGCACACCTTGAACATTTTTTTTAAGAAATTGAGAAGCTGAGTTCACCAAACACTGTGATTTCTTCTCATTCATTTTGATTTTTTTTCTTTAAAAAATGATAATTATTGAAATTTTATGTTCGCCCATTTTTTATTGGGGAAATTGTAAAAAAAAATGAATGATTACTTGGAATAGAAAAATAAACAACTGTGCTTTAGAAAAATAAACTTCTATGGGAATAATGAATGAGTGATACGATAAGAAGTTATAAGAAAAAAGTAATTTTAATTATTAATAATGTATAATGGTAACTTTACTTTGCGAAATAGTTCAAAATAATAATGGCTCTTATGTCTCTTAAGTCTTATTTTTAAAATTTCCGATAGAATGTTACGATTTTTATCTGACGACATTAGTATTTCTTTTAGTTTTTTTTTTCCAATTTTATTTGTTCCCTTTCTGTTTTTTAGCTAATTTTATTTGTTTTTGCTATTTTTGGACATCAACTAAGGCTCGAGCTTATAAAATAAAAATTTCGATAGAGATAATATTTTTCACAACAATTTATAAAAAATAATTATTTGAAGCAAACAAGAAGCGAGAAAAGCATTTAAGGTGGCAATAATTTTTAAACAAATTATATTCACTTTTTAAAAAAAATAAAAGATCTCGAGTTAAATAAAAACTGACCCTTTCAGCATATCGAATTCCACTCTGTATTTGCATTCCGGTGGCTCGAATGATATTTTTTTAGCATAAGTTTAATAATTCTGGGATTAATAATCGAATCTCTCTCTCTCTCTCTTAAACTTTAAATATTTAATAGTTAATGGAGGTGAAACAAAAGTTCTCACGCGATATAGCGTTCTCTTAAAGAAGATAATGAATTTTATTTAACATTAATTTATAGAACAATTTCGTTTAACTCTCTAACGGACGGACTGAGAGCCATCTGGCATACAAAAACCCCTCAATCCAAACGCCAAGAAGTTCACATTTCCAGTAAATAAATACAGAATATGTAAATAGATAAAACAGAATATGTACATAGATGTAAATATATAAAAGAGATACAAAAATGGGAAGAGATTCAAAAAAAGAGATACAAAAGTTATCAAACAAAAAGAAGAAGAAAAAACTATTAATATCAAATATTCTGGCTATGACTTAATTACTAAAAAAGTCACTGAAATTTAATATAACCCAGTAAGCGATACATATTTATAGTTAGAGCAATAAAGTAGCGTAAAAAATTGATTCTGAACAGATTTTGATATTCGATTAAAAGGAGATAGTGAATAAATGAGTTATTCTATTGGATTAAAACGTTAGCCGTTACATTGATTAAGGAAAGAATAAAATAATTTATATTCGCTTTTAATAAATATGATACAAATTAAATAATTGGTTTAATTTAATCATTACAGGATTGAGAATTATGTTACGCCTATTATGACATCACAGTCTGCAATATCTATCAGACAGAAAATTTAGCAATACAGGCAGCCAATATGCTTACTTTGGCATCTTATGAAAAGACGGTGATCTGAAATGTACGTTCAGGACAGCCACTGCAAAGACCACACTTAATGTGACTAGAATCATGGTGAAGAGGAGATACTTTCCGAGCAAAGGCATGGCCAGAGACGTTGATGGAACTATCTCGGCCAAGACCAGAAAGAAGAACGTCAGAGACAGCAAGATAGAGATAGACAAGCTGACTTTCTCGCCACTCTCGGAAGGAAGGTAGAAGACTACGACAGATAGGCCAGAGATACCGACACAAGGAATGATGAGATTGACAGTATAGAAGAGGGGTTTGCGACGAAGAGTCATGTTGAAGGTGATGTCTGGGTAAGGTTCCATGCAGCAGGAGTAATACTTCTCGTTTCTGGTGGCAGGGGCAGCCATAATGTCCCATTCGACGCTTAGGTAAAATTCACTAAGGTCGACCCCTTGTGGTACTTGGGAGGAATTGGCTATCTCATGAAGGTGTTTTAAGTCCACCTGTGGAAGAAAAAAGTGCAATTTATTATAAAGACGAGTTTTTGATGAGTTTCATCTTTCTAGTCTCCAGGGCAAAAATAAGAAAATTTCTAACCTTTGATAAACAGAATTTTAAATTATTACTATCTTATTTATATCTTTGCATAAGACCTCATTTTCGAACTGTATTTTTTCTTAATTTTCACAATTTCTGACTTATTACAAGAATTAAGTGCTTTAATGACTTAAATTTTGTTCACTCGCCTTGTCTGAAATAATAACCAAATGGTAAACCACTTATCCTCTATGGCAGTGTTCCCCAACCATTTTATCACCACGGACCTGTCAACGTTTGATAATGTTACCGCGGCAAGCTAGGGGGGAGGGGGCATTGATTGTTTATATTTTAGATGTATTTTGATTTATCAATTTAATTTAATTGTATTTAGATAAAGTACAGTTACACCAAAAAATAAGTATAAAGTGATTTAACATTTTAACTTACATGAACGTTAAATCAATGAAAACCCTGAGCTTGTTTCTTTGCAATGAGACGGTTCCATCTGGGGGTAATCGGAGACAATGATACATTACAAGCATTAAAAAATTTATGTCACTACCTTCGGGGGCACCCTTTTTTGTAAATAAATAAAATTTTAATGGAACACAAATATTTCTAATTTGGGGTATAAACCTAGGTATTTAAATTCAGTTTGAATGAAATGGGCAGCCCGGCACCATTTGATCCACAGACCGGTACTGGTTCGTGGACCGGGGGTTGGGGAACACTGCTCTATGGTGCTTGCGTAGGGTTTGAATAACTCATTATTATCTATTTTATTTTAAATATAAGGGAGAATTTTTGTACTACTAAATTTGTTTTCATAAATACACTTTAAAACTTTAGATTTTATTTTTGAAAGAAATATTAGTAAATATGTTTTGGTTTAATCTGTGTATTTTCTACGTTGCTTCTGTTTAGCGTCTGTATGAGTGCAATTCGGCTTATATCTTTCATAAAAATAAAAATTGATCAAATTTATTTTGAAGCTGATGCAATTTTACCTTCAAAATAAGATTATAGATAGAAATGCATACGATCATTCAATTCACTGACAGCCGAAACATACGAGTCACAAACTTTCCCATTCCAATCATGTTCAGAATTATCATCTCAACAAAAAATATTTCTTTAAAATGCTGCGTACCATTAACAATCTTAAAATAGGAACTGCCTTTTTGGAAGCTTCAAAAAAAACTTTATATAATAAGATGAAATAAAAAAGTACATCTTCAAAAAGACAAACAACAAAAACCTATTTCTTATAAAACAAACGTGACTCTTTTCCAAGACCTCCTTTCACCGACTCGTTACCCACTGCCCATCACGTTCGCTCAATAAACTAACTGGAGAGACAGCTCTGAAGAGTAAAGAATACGCTCTTGGGCTTGTGGGTCTTGGCGAACATCTTCTACGTGTCCAGCGCCAAAGATTCCAGTCACGAGAACTTGTTTCTGCACCAAAGAGTCAGAATTCTCAAAGAAGGAAAGATGCATAAATCCCCTTCAGTGTATATATCCATGCATTGCTTTTGCTGTTGCTTGAATTCAGAGAAAGATTTCAGCTTTTTCCAGGAAAAAAAAAGGAATCGGAAACAACTACTGACGTTCGAGCGAACAGCGGAATTTGAAACGAAGCTGATGAGAAGAGCCTGGGAGAGTTTTTAATAACTCTCGATGACACGAGCTGAATCTTTAAGCAGTGAAATCATTAAAAATGGTGGAGCTCTCATCAACTGGGGTATGAAGGCTGTAATTTATGAACGAAAATAAACAGGATTCTCTTCTTTATTGCCGTCTTAAGATATAAAAATAATGGAACAGAACTCTTCACGAAATTTCTTTTGTTGATTATCTTATCACTAGTTTCTAAAAATAACTCATAAAGGATACAAATGAGAAGTTTGTAATGGAACAATGAAGAACCACAAGAAAAAAGAGAAATTGTTTTGCAGAGTTGGAAAAAAAAATCCGGAAAAAAAATCAAGTGCATATACTGCAGAAAATTCCAGAGCAAATTACTGAAAAAAGTAACATCACTCAAGAGTGTCAGTACTTTTTACCGTAAAATCCATTTTTACCCATCCATTTTTATGTTACGGAGTAAAACAATCCGAAATACCTTTATTTTTACAGTTATAATTACTATAAAATCACTGAATAATTCTAACTAAATAAGTAATACTGTAAAAACTACGGTATAATATTTTACTGTAAAATGGATTTTACGAATGATGCACCCAAACGTCTAGTATTTCATACCGCAATTTGATCCATAATCTTTAACAGTATATTTGTATTAAAAGAAGCACTAGGGAAAAATTACATTATATACTGATATGGGAGAGAAATAATTATCAATAGCTCGGAATGTATGACAATCAGCTCAACTTCGAAGAATAAAATAAAAAGGTGATGAATCAGAATTTTAACGCTTTCCTCAACACTTTTTGAGAATCATCATATTACAATTTTCTACTAATAACTGAGGGTTGTTAAGAATAAGGAGCATGTTTCAAAATAATGAGAAGCTGATAGAAAAATAGAAACTATTTTTCAAAGATTTGAGAAAAAAAATATTTTCCAAAACCACACATTAATTATCAAATAGAAATAAAGATTTGAAAAAAGAAATGTAGAAAACTAGCCAAACACATGTTGACGTGCCATATGCTGAAAGATAATACAGCATTTTACATTTTTAATTTCATTTTCATTCAGTAAGTAGGAAAATTATTAGAAATGTAATTAATCATAACAGTTTCAAAGAAAGTGCGACGTCTTTCATTTAATTAAAAAAGATAATTACACTCTTTGAAGCTATTGTATTTCAAACTAAAAAAAAAAAATCTCAGTTTTTTTTGTGTGGAAAAAGTAGAAAGAAAATCTGAATACAGAATTTAGAAATAATTAATTCTGACAAAGTAAATAGGAAAAACCAAATTAAAAATCCCTCCTTATACTCGTCGCTATTTGTCCTTTATTATTATGACAATAAAATATCAAGGCATATTTATGTCACAATTAACCTCCTAGTTGCCATGAACAATTCGTATGTAAAAAAGGCAATAAAGGGCGAAAATAAATATAACAGATTTGCTTCATAAAAATTCCCTTGCTCATTTAATGGGCGCAACAAAAATACTAAATTATGCATTCTGTTTAGAAAGTCAAGAAATACAGAACAATGCGACTGTGACTTTGGTTGGGCGAGTTTATTTTAAAATATTGCCCACGAAGGGGTGATAAAAAAGGAACTTTTGTCACTAACTTGTAGCCCTTTTTCGTTTACTACCGCCAAATACTTGAGTTTATATCCCCCCACCTTTTAATCTGTTTGCAACGTCACTTGCAGGATGCACTCCAACCATGTTTAGTAAAGTGATAAATTTCATGAGAAAAAAGTTTTTCCAAGAAGTGTTCTTCTCTGAATTTGAAATTAGATCTAATTATTTCAGTTGCTTTACATAAAAATATTGTTCGTGAAGAGCTATTTTTTAATATTTCAAGCATATTTTTTTATTGTTAAATTCTTTTCAGTAATATTTTAAATAATATCCAGCTTAATAACAAAGAAGAGAAAAGAATTAAATTTGGTAAAATTTTATTTATTCTTATGTAATGCTTATTAAATAAAGTATTGTTTTGTTATAAATAACCAACAAAATAATGAAAAGGAAAAAAAGGTCGTTATTTATTTCAAAGTTAAAGAATTCATTCGCAGTTTGAGCTACAGCCATTTTTTACCACATTATTAATTAGTTATTGAAAAGTTCAGAAATGCATTTCACCACTTTAATTAATATTATTAAATAGTTGAGAATAAAATATTATAATTGGAAAACCAAACAAGCAAGAAATTAAAAAATTTGTTTATAGAATTTTTAACATTTAGCAAACAATTGAGAATCGAAACAAATTGGCGTTTAAAAATAAACTATTGATGAGTGCTATATCTAGATAGTGCGTATTTTTTAATCTTTGAGATTCACCAAAACATACTTTTGAATTATACTAAGTTTTCGAAAAAGTGAAAAGTTAGTGAAAAAGCTTTACACCAGTAAACCATAATACGCGGACAAAAAAAATCAAACTTAGGCTAACTGCAAAGTACCCTCCTCACAGTACTCTGTAAAAAATTCTAGATCACGTTACGGTAAAAAGTACCGGTACTCAGGTTATCGGCATTTTTTACCGTAAAATCCATTTTTATTGAAACATGTTAAGGAAAAAAAATCTGTTATACCATAATTTTTATAGTAATAATTAACGTAAAATCACTGAATCAACAGAAATTAAATAAATATTACTGTGAAATTTACGGTATAATACCTTACTGTAAAATGGATTTTACAGATGATGCACGCAAAGTGTCGATACTTTATACCTTAATTTGATCCGGAATTTTTAGCAATATAAATAATGTGTGCTTACAAACCAAATATCAAACGTAAAACCACAAATGTATTAACATGATTCTGAGTTCAAGCATACGTAAGAGATACCATGCTCGCAAAATCCATTTAACTCTTTTTCTCGCAAAATCCATTTAACTCTTTTTATCTCTTAATGCTTTGCTTATTAGCTTCTATCTATGGGAATGCACAGGGAATTAAATATCATAAATATACCAAAACGAAACAATACTTAATGCGCATTAGAGAGTTTCGGACAACTAAGCTAATATGAAGCATACAGAACTAAAATCTTCCCTTTAAATTGAAAAAGAAACTCAAATCCACAGAGATATTAAGATGATTGCGAGATCTATCGTACGTAAGAGAAGCCATGTTCATAAATCCCACTTAACTTTGTTCATCTGTTGATGTAACGTATGAAACTTTTATGTATGGGAATGCACAAGGGATTGACCTTGCAGGTTTCCTATCATCCTAATAAACATTAAATACAGCACATCATCAATATTCCAAAGCAAATCTATACTTATTGCATATTGGAGAATTTCGGACAACTAAGCTAATATAAATCATATAGGATCAAAGATTTTCACTTTGCATGAAAAAAAAAAACTGAAAAACCACAGTGGTATTAAGATGATTGCGAGATCTAGCTTTACCTATAAGAGTTCACAAAACCCACTTTACTCTTTTTATCTGTTGATATAACACATGTAACTTTTATCTGTGAGAATGCACATGGGGATAAAGCTTACATGATATCCATCATATGTCCAAGATCCGAACTTCATGAGACAGCTTTGCCTGTCGAAAGGAAAGTAGAGGACGTCTATTTGGCAAGAGCTCTTGTAAATGGCTGGGGGATTCCACACGACACGTCCTGTGCTGTGAATGATGGCTTTCGTCATGATGGTCACTTCGTAGTTGCCGTCCGCACTGAAATAGCCATAGAAAAAGAAAAGATTCTGACGTTAATATAGAATTGATGAAAAGGATTAAAGTGACCTGGCATGGATAGCAATAAATGCTATTGTCGTTTATCGGCTAATTCTTTTATTTGTATTTATTAATTATCACAAAATAATTAAATGTTGACACACAGTGAAAGAATGATAGCACGTTTTTTAACATAGTAATTAAAGCAGGAAAAATATAGTTAATTTAGGGAGGTAGTTAAATATATGTAAGCAAACCAAGATTAAAGATATCTTAAAAACGCTATTTTCATATTTGTATATATGTGTTAGCATATCTTACTTTTTGCTGTCTAAACATAAAACATGGATTAAAATATTATAGCCTTTTTTCATCTTTTGATAATAATGCTTTTGAACGGAGACAACTGGTAATTTTGAAGCTAGGCATAGTTTTTTTACATTTTCTTCAGATTTCTTTCCTTTAAAAACTCATTTTAATAAGTAGTTTTTCAATTAATGAATACTGTTAGAGCTATTTTCATTCAAACGCATTTTTTAATTTTACTTTTTGAAGGTTTTTAATGACCAGTAATAAAGAATAATATTTTTTTGAATAATATTTTTTTCAAAAACGGCAAATGAAAAATGAAATTTTTGTTCTTTCAGAAAATGATATTGTGAGTTAATGCTTACTTTGGTGGAGTGATTTCTCATTAATTGTTTACTATAGTTTTTGCATACTTATAGAGTTATCTTATAATTGAAAAGTATTAAAAAACAGAATCCAAGCTGCAAACATTTAACTTCTCAAAGCTTGGTAAAATTTATGTTTAAATAAAATAATAATAAATGTGTAATTCAGTTTGCATTCCAGATTTTGTACTTGTAATTAATAAATATACTTGACATATGCTGTGAGGTATTGAATTGAATGCACTGATACGAACTTTCCTAGTCCCCTCGACACTTTTGATTTAAAATTACGTTTTAAATCAAGGATACAGGAGAAATTGTTTAACTTTAATGATAGTTTTAATACCTTATTAACCTTAAATTGATCAATATCAAGTAATGTTAGCATATCCAAATGAGGATAGTGTATGCTTTTTGCTGTGTATAAACAAAGTATAACAACGTGAATAAAACACAAATTTTTCATGTTGTTTTGCTTTATTCAGCTGTTAGTATACCTTGTCTAATGTCTAAATTATATGCCATATCGCCACAAGTTATGTCCAGTTTCTATTTACTTAGAAATATAACTTTGATCCATTTAATTACACGAAATAAAGTTTGCTAAGTCTCAGAATCTTTTAGGTATATTCTTAAGAGATATAACCTCTATTTTTTTGCATTAAAACATGGAAACCAAAAATTCCTGACCCTAGTTCAATATAATTTAGTTTTGCAGAGTTAACTTTGCAATAAAGAGTGCAATAAGAGCTTAACAATGAAGTGAACTTTACTTAACAATGAAGTTAAATCTTGATGATCATTAAGCCTTCATTAAATTTATAATGAGAACTTCGGTCTACTGCAATTTCAAATGAGAGAAATGTAGAATCACATAACTCTGTAAATATCTTATTTGAAACAGGATGCGATTAGAATGCGAATTCTAAAGAATATAAGTGAGGTATTTCAAATTTTAACTTTTTATCGATCATTTGGGAAATGGAATCGCAAACAGTGGAAATTATTCAAGCCATGTCATTGAAACTTAATTCTAACTATGCATTTGAAATGCTGCAGTTCATTTTAGTTCAATAAAAAAATCTTTTGTGTTACCCTACATGACATACTCTGAAATGGTAACCTGGTTCTAGATCATATTGAATCAGTTTATCCAAATTTTTTTTGTTCCTTGGATTCTTTTATTTTTTTGCCTTAAAATTTTATTTGGAATGCATTTATAGACATAATGCTTTCACACATTTGCAGGCGTTAATGATAGTTTGATATCCTACCAACCTTTGACTAATTAATATCAAATTGTATAAATTTTTGTGTTGTAAATAAACTATATGTCATATCGGCAAAAAATATATTGCATGAAACATGCAATAAAAGTACATATCTATTTAGAAAACAGCTTTTTATCCATTAAATTCCGTAAAATAAAGTTTATAAATGCCATAGAATACTTCAGACTTAGCCAAGTGATATTCCCAGGAGATATGACCTCTGGTTTTATAGAGCATTGAAACAAAAAAGAAAAAGAAAACTTCCTAACACTAGTTCAATAAAATTTACTTTTGCAGATCACTAAGCCTTCATTAAACTTTTAAAAGAAACTTCTGTCTGCTGTGATTTCAAATGGGAGAAAACTAGAATCACATAACTAGATAGATATTTTTCCGAATACCTTATTTAGAATTGGATGCGAACAGAATGCGAATTCAAAAGAATATATCTGTGATATATCTTCTTTATCTTTTTATAGATCTTCTGGGAAATGGAACCACAAACAGTGGGGGTATTTCAAGCTATGTCCTTGCGGCTATAGAAACCTAATTCCATCTCTGCACATGAAATTCTACCGTTTCTTTCTTTATTTCGCTTTTTTCACTTAAAAAATCTTACAGAAATGTTCATAGTTTTTATTTTATTCTATCCTAGCTTTTAACGTTATTCTTTTTTTCCAGTATTTGTCTTTCAACAAAGTGCTGGACAAAATAAACAGAAAAAAGTCTATATAACGAAGGAACAAAAACATTTTTCGATGATTGAAATCCTTTTTTTTTATTTTTAACTTTAACAATTTCTTAAAATAAGTTGTTGATCAGTAAGAAACTTTGAAAAAAATGTTCTTTGTCGGAGATGCAGTCATTAAAGAAAATCTTTACATCAAAATTTATTTCAAAGACTCGTTTACATTTTAAAAAAAAATTATTATTCTGTTCACTGTCACAATGTGCAATAAACGTAGAAGTGTGTTCAAATTTCTTCATAGCATCTAAAATGCTGCGATATTCAGTTTTTCACATGAAGCAAAACATTTCAGTTTGTATGGAGATGAACAAAATAAATGATATCGAATTAGTCTATTTCATACTTAAATGACAGTGACCAGTTGATCTCCAATCAACTGCAAATTAGTGAAACAAGAGTGGAAGAGTTTTTTTCGACTACATTTCTTTTATCCAAATCCATCAAAACTGATTAATATTTTATGAAATACAACTGCATTTAAATATGTGAACATCACTTTAAAATTAAATAACTAAACTTTAAAGCGATGCCTGAAAGACAATTCTGAAAGACTGTACTCTTTCATGATTACACAGTGAAGTATTTAAGAGTAAAGTATCATTCAAAGTTTGGCTCATTTTCAAAATAATGTTTTCGGATAGTGATTTCAACTTTTTTTTAATTACGTCTATTGACTACAAAGTGATCGAGCTTCTTTCGGCGGAACCTCGACATTATTTAGAAGAAAAAAAGTTTCGTTAGCAGCTGTGTATATGCTAATAAGAAAGATTACTAATTATTAAAAAATATTTAATGTGAAGAAGGAAATATGTAGTATTATGAGTTTGTTCTTGATGTATACATATGCTGAAAATAAATAAAATAGCTAAAATGTGGTTCTCATTATAGAACTGTTATAAACATTGAGAATTGTTATCATAAAAACGTAAATCTTTATTCTTATTTAGTTATTTTATTTTGAATAGAAATTGATGGGAAATATTTATACTAATACTTTTTCACAAATGTATATTTTCATAATTTAATCAATATATTGTTATGAAAAAAAATATTTTTCTAATTTTGCTAATTTTGTTTTTATAGGCATTTTGCATAAATTGATTCATATGAAAAACCTAAATATTAAATAAATTATGGATTATTATTAGGATGTAATTATAATTATTACTAGTTAAAAAATCTTAACTTTTGAGGCCTCAAATTTAGCTTCCGATTATATTGTGTCAACTTTAGACGTAATAGGTTTACCTAGTTACTATTGCAACATTATATTCAAACTTGCTCCTTTTTTTAATTCTTGGTTGATTTTTGGATACTATAAAAACGCATCAAATATTTTTCTATGAAATTTAGAAAAACTCATTGAATATATATCTAGTTAGACTATTTATAGAAACTGTGCGAATATTGCTTTAAAATTTTACATTTAAATTTTATACTCATAATATATATTACATGCGTTGATGCCTTTTACATTAAATTAGTATTAAAAGAAAATATTACTTGTTGAAAATTAAATATTACTTTATTTATCGTTTATTAATTGTGTGACTAAAGTGACTAAATGTCCTTAGAGATAGCACTAAACACATATCAATATTTTTATTTTAAATCTTTAAATTTTGGAAAATAAAAATTAAAAATGCAATAATAAAAAAATTATATTAAATAGGGTTGATAAATATATATTACAAGTTAATACCTTTAAATAAGGTATAAAAAATAATAATTTACAGGAAAATATCAATATAAATTTATTAATTTTGCTCTAACAGGCCAATGACATCTATATATTTTCTTTGGACGCCAAAGATTATTACACGTGATTTTTCTCTACAATGAATATGTATGAATATGTATCAAAAGATTTTCATATATAGTTAGAAGAAGAAATGTGTTAGAAAAAAGTTGTAATTTTAAGATGGGCCTTGTTTTTATTTAAATATTTCGTATAAGATCAAGTATGCAATATTTAATGTCTAATTTGAGCTACCAAACATCACCGATTTAGACTAAAATTCATTAAAATTTTAACTATCTTATTTTATTTTATCTCTTGAAAAGAATTTGCGTTTAAAAAAAATACTTATTTTTTAATTATTTAATTCTTAACATTATGTCATTGATTTTATTTTACTAATATTTGAAAAAAAAGCTTTTTAAACATGAAATCTTAGAAAGCATGTTCTCAGAATATTTAATCTGTTACACAGTAAAAAATGGATACTCAAAATTCATACGATTTTCTTCTTTATAAAAGAAACCGATTCCTCTCGGGGAGAAGTTTCAAATTGAGGAAATTAGTAC